ACCTTCCTTTTATGTGGAGAAATTTTTGTGTATTTTTCAGTCTTTAATGCAATGATAAGCCAAGGTGGCCCATTGCATGTGATTTGCCATGCAATGTTGGTAGAACACAGACCCAAGTCTCATGAGAAAAAATCAAAGTTACTTCTAGGCCATCATTGAACAGCCTCAGTCTGTCCTTCCCTCATTTGAGACCATGACCACCTCCTGCAAGTTCTTCCACAACAGCAGAAAGGGCAAAGAAGTCTTACCCTACACCAGCCACACAAACTGAACAGGAAGAGGCTTCAGATCCCTTGAATCAGCAATGTCCCCAGTTCTACCCTGGCCAACAACTCTAATAAGTATTAAAAAAAACTTATTCAAAATTAATTTTGAAGGTTTTTATACTGGTCCCCACTTAAATTGAACCAAGCCTGTTTTCATAGACACTAAGTAAAAAGACTATACCATCTAGCTAAAATAGTCTCTATCAACTGGAAAGCTACATTATTTTACTAAATTTCTCATTACAAAGTGTCGAACAATAACACTCTACCCTGTTTTTTTTTCTGTGGGTTTGGGTTGTTTTTTTGTTTTTTGGTTTTTTTTTTTAAGATAAAGTACCTTGATTTTCATGTAATGCCACTTATTTACATACAGCTGAAAAATAAAGTACTATATTTTTGCCATGTATATAATGTCATACACATAAACAACCATGTCTTTATAAAATGATTTTTCACAAGAATTTTAAGTTTGTCATCTAATGCATTTCAATTAATTTTAAATAAAATTATAATAGAAGATGCACTAAGGTGCATGGAAAAGCAAACACAACTATTTGGAGTATATAAGTATTGTTTTATACTGTTATTTGTTTAAGGATAAGAAACTTCCGTTATTTGTTTAACCAAATAAAACATTTACTTTATGATCTATTAACCAGACACAATGCTTAAGTTTCATTGGCATTACAGTATATGGCAGGGGGTGTCAACCAGGAGTACACGTACCCCTGGGGGTACTTGAGGAAGCCTCCAGGGCGTATGCGGCAGTGGCGCAGAGAAGTGGGGGGCACTTCTTGTTCTGCCGCTGGCACTCCCGGTTTCACCACTGCATACAGGAGACCCCCCCTCAATCAATTGGCTGCCAGGGACTCCCCGCTTCTCAACCAGCCACTGGGGGTATACCAACCAAAAAAGGTTGAATACCCCTGGTATATGGCATACTGTACATAAACATCTACTTCCAGACATAAGTCACCTTTACACAGTTTTCCATTTGAGCTTTTAAACAAAGTGTAAATAATTTGGAAACATATGAAACAAAATTAAACTCTTCACTTCACTTTTATCATTAAGTTTCCACACACATCAAATGAGAAGGTAAATAGAGTTTAAATGGACCTGAATCATGTGAATCTTTAATACCAAGCATGTATTAGTCAAAGCAGAATCAATTAACTGCATATTAGAGTAAATATTTGTGGGGTTAGGCTTGCGGTTACTAAATGTTAATATAGAGGAAAGCTGCTCAGGGTTATACTTTCCCTCATGAGGCTATAATCTTTTGTGGAAGCACTTGCAATACGTTCTAGTTTGCAACTGGAGACTTCCCCCTTCCCCCCATATTGCTACCAGGAAGAAAATTCTTACTTTAAAGCAATGTGTTTTCATTCATGAATAGCTTTTACTACACCTAAATTTTAGTGCCTATATTATCTTTATATACCTTTCAATTAAAAATTGGTATGTTTGATGAAAGACACTCTGGGTTGAGAAATACTTTTGTCCAAGGTCTCAAACTAGCTACATTTAGTACTAGAACAGTGAAGAAATATTTACAAATATATATTTGACTAGCATATAAAAACGTTTCTATTTTTCTACTGACTTTTTACAAAGAAAAAATTGTTTGTCCTAGGTCAGGGTCAGCCACCTGAAACATTTTGGTGAAGCATTATATCTGGCTTGTGGAGTCAGGAAGCTTCTGTGGCATTTTGGCAGCAGGGCCTTCTGTGACATTTCAGTGGCCAAGCAGCAAAGAGAAGCAGCAGTGGCAGCACTAAGGAGGGAGAGCAGTAACTGTGGGTGCAGCTGCCACGGCACAGGCCAGCCTGGAAGCAGCCCCAACTCAAAGCAAAACAGTTAAAGCAGCCCTCAGCTCCTAAATGTTGCTGAACCCTGCTCTTAGTGCTTTCTGATTATAAATATATGGAAAAAAAACCGCACTCACAGTATCCTTTATAAAGCTTTAATTTACTTCCATGTCAAGATCATTTTACAAACAATATAAAAGTGCCTTAAGAAAAAAAGAAAAAACAAACAAACCACGCCAAAGCACATATTAAAAACCCATCAGCCAAAAACATATAAGAGTTCATAATTTCCCAGAGTTTTTCTAATGCCCCATAATTACAGTAGAGTCATTTCCCTGTGCTCTTACAACCAATATACTGAAACTAGTCCAAGCAAAGCACTAAGCATATTTCATAATTTAAGGGAGCTCCCAGAGGCTGCTGTGTGAGCTGCTTTCATTCACTGCCTTATGAGCGCAGCTCCAGTTCCGACACCTCCATTGACTCATTTATTCAGATAAATAGTTTCCAGAGCTTAATAAGTCAGAAACAACAGCTTTAATTGCACCTGGCATTTAATAGGTAACCTGTATGAAGCAAAAAGTACAGTATATAGGCACTGTCTATAGATTAAATGCTACTATTGTTTGAAGAGCCAAATGAAAAAAAAAAAAATCAAAAACACAAAAAACAGAAAAAACCCCATATAAGATTACTGGCATAGTTTCTTTTGTTCTTCAAATTTATTCCATTCTCCCTCTTGCAGATGTGGCATTGTACCTATTCAATACCTCTGAAGGGAAGGCTGAAGTGCATAGTCACTGTGGTGTTTTCATCACCCATTACAAAACAGTGCCCATTCACCTAAAGCAGGGCTGTCCGACTAGCAGTCCACAGGCTGCATCTCACCTGTGAGCAGTTATAATACAGAACTCCCAATACTTGTGTCTCGCTGCCCTTGATCTGCTGTAGGAGACATGAAAGGGGTTTCTGGGGCAGGACAGGATAGCAGGAGGGAAGTCCCAGTAAGCTCAGGGAGACTGTACAGCAGGGATAGCATGCAGCCCACACTGTGTGTGGCCCAAGGCCTGAAACCTTTGCAGAGTGTGGCCCCTGGTGGCTCTGAAGTTGGACAGCCATGGTCTAAAGCAGTGGTTTTCAATAGGGCTGTGCAAAGCTTCGGTCCCCGATTCAATTCAGTCGAAATCTGGCCCTGTGTTGTAGCCGAATCTCCAAATCTGAATTGAATCAGGAGACCCTTTAATTTCTCTGAATCAAATCAGAACCCTCCGAATCAATTCAGAGACATTCGGAAAGATTTGACGATTCAGACAGACACAGTTTTAAATGTTTTTTCTATATGCCTCTAGGTAGCAGGTGGCTCGTGAATGCCACAATGCTCAGGCACATGGAAGTTCCCACAGGAGCGCAGGGCAGGGCCCTGCGTGCTTGGCAGCAGACCCAGAAGTGGACCAGAAGCACTTCCGGTCCACTTCCAGGTCCACCAAAAAGCATGTGGGGGGTGCCGCAGCATGCTCCCTGGCAGACCCGGAAGAACCTGGAAGTGGAACTGAAGTACACCACTGAGCACATGGGGGCCTCCTCAGGCTCCTGTGGCAAACTCCATCCATCCCAGCATTCATGAGCCACACCTGGTACCTCGAGGTATGTAGAAAAAACATTTAAAGCTGTGTCTATGTCTGAATCGCTGATTCTCTGAATCAGCATCAAATCTTCAGATTTGGATTTGACTGAATTGAACTGAGGAGAAGTGATCCGAATCAACTAATCGAATCACTGTCCCCAATTTGGGCCAAATCCGAATCAGAGAGTGTCCATTTTGCACACTCCTAGTTTTCAACCTGTGGTCCACAGACCCCTAGGGTTCCACAGATTATGTCTAAGGGGTCTACAAAAGATGACTATGATCAATCAAAAGTATATGAATACTCACACTTACTATTCAAAGGGGTCTGCACCTCCATTAGAAATTTTTTAGGGGTCCACAAATGAAAAAAAGATTGAAAGAAACTGATCTAGAGGCTAAATGAATCATCTTTAGCATTTGCTTCCCTTTCACTTTTTGAGAGAGAGCTACAAGTCACCTCCCAACATCAGCCATTGTAGTTTTTGGAACATCTTATATTTTTATTTTAAAAAGTGATGCATAAAAATGATACAAGTCATTACCATGTATACATAAGAATTTGTTATAACCCATATTTATACCAACCTGTGTCAGTAAGATAGCAAAAGAACCTTTTCCACAGACAGTTCACAGTGGGGAAAAAGGGGAGGGGATTAAGAAAAAAATCATAATTTAGAAAATATAATAATTTTTGGAACAACAATTATTTTACAAGCACATGAAAGTACACAGTATTTGCACAGCTCAGGTCCCACATTCTCTTCCTGGTTGGTCTTAAAAGGATAAGGTCGTCTGCCAGTTGGCCCAATTTAAATGGTGTAAAACAAGCTTTTATACGTTTTAAGATCAACATACAAACTAACACATTTTAAAAATGTGATGAAAAAGCTGTTTCTAAAACAAACAGCTTTCTTCCTTTTTTAAACCCAACAGAAGTTATACTAGGCATTTGAACATGAAACCAATTGTAAGCAAAACTAAAACTGAATCCATTATTTGAACAGAAAACTGTTAAAACAAATGAATAAATTTAGGTCATTTAGAAAAATCATTATTAATAGTATGAGATTTTATTAGTGATGTGTAAGAAAGAATTGTGTTTTTAAAAGGACATATTTTCGAAACACGTTATTCAGGCAATAACCAAAAAAGAAGTTTTAAAAAATTGAGGTTCCATGAAAATGTTTTTATTCACTTTGCCCTTTTTTCTACCTTTTTTGAGATTTTTTAAATGTCTTTCCCATATTGCTACATGAAAGATGCATACAAGCAAAAAAAAAGGAAACGAAGGCCTTTATTCAACAAAGCGCTCATGCTAAGTTAAATAAATCCATGACTAGTCATACAGTACAGCACTCAGCACCAGATCACTACCATTATACATAACAGGTGTATAAAATAGAAGCAACTAACTTTCATTTATTCTTTAGCTGGTCAGAGAACTTTTATCCAACAATATGGCAAAGAAATTAAGTAGCAGCTCATAATCTTGTTTTAAACACTTCTAATGAATCTTTCCACCCAGCAACAGATTAGGTATTATATGCTGTACACCACATTAAAATCAATTTGTTTTCAAACAAAGTGTCTCGGAAAAATGTTTTCTCTTAACCTAACCCCTACACAGAAAGGTGAGTTGCTATGCAATTTTCTTTAATAAAAGGCAACTTTTCCATGTCTAACAGTACCACAGACTTGTATCTACAAAATGTACATGAGAAAAGAAAGCATAATTGCATTATAATAGAGGCAAGTATTTTTTTATTTTATCAAGTTTTGTAAGTCTTTTCATTAAAAGAGATAAAAAAATCAACCAACTTCTACAGCCAGTGTATCTAATACCTTCGCAGAGTTTCAAAATATTGGTATTATGCTACATGTCTGGAAAACAAAATACAAGATCAATTTTCATGGAATGCTAAGTGTATCCTTAAACTGCCCCACATATTCATCTATGAAAGTACATAAAATATTTTTTCAGATGTGTAGCTTTCAGTTAATTGAGACAGTATACCAAGATTTTTCAAAATGCATACCGCAAAAGTATTCTTTGCAAAAGATTTTCAGTGGAAATATTTTAAATATATACAAACTTAGCTCAGAGTTGACATCAATCAAGCTATTTAAATTCAGTTCTAATACTTATTTAAAAACCTGCTACCTTCAAACAAGGATTAATGAACAATTCTCATTACAATCGTCCTTCCTTAGCATCACCTATGGCTCCCCATACATCAAAGACAAACTCGTCTGGAAATGCAAAGTCTCCCAGAGCTTCATCAAGTGCCACTGCAAATTCATCTGGATTGTTTTTGTCTCTTCCAGCTTCTACCATTGTGGCAGCTAAAAAACAAACAAAAATTCCCAACTCAGAACACACAAATTTATCAAATAAGAAAGAAAATGATAGTCAAATAATATGCCCGGGGAAGTATTTCAAAGTATTGCTTTACAACATTGAACAGAGGTGTAACAAGCAGTTCACTAAGCAGCAGCAGTAGTTAGGGTCAGAACAGCAACAGCAGCAGCCACCACCAGCAACCTTGCATCCCTCTAGGCTGGCACCCACGGCTGGTCCTCACTTACCCAGTTACACTACTGACTGAGAATAGTGAAAAACAAGAAAAATTATGCACCTAAATCTCCTCCCTAATAGCTAACATTCTCCTCTGCTATACATAGATGGAGGAAGAAAATATGATTGGGGGGGCTGACCATGCACACGTGCAAGTGCACATGTGCCTCCCCCCAGCAAGTAAGTCTGTCACGGGGAAGGGGAGGAAGGCAGATCGAGGCCCCTGAGGTGAGGGAGGGAGTGGGGCAGAGACAGGGGCAGGTCATGGGAAGCTTGCTGCCCAGGCAGTTCATCCAGGGACACAGGGGGGCTCCCACCTCTGCACGCACCCCCAGAGCAGGCACAGGGGGAAAACATGCTCCCCGATCTCTGCACGGGGCAGAGGTGGGCTGCCGCTGTGGCCTGGGCTCTGCACCCTGCTGCTGGTGTCCCGGGAGTGGCCTGACACCACGTACCTCCTGTGCGCTGGCTGTGCCAAGCCCCTGCCTGCCTGGCAACTGGAGGCATGTGGCATTGTGCCGCTCCCAGGGCGCCAGCAGTGAGGTGCAGAACCCAGCCCTCAGCAACAGCCCACCTCTGCCCTGTGCACAAACTGGGGGGGGCATGTGCCCCCTGTGCCTGTCTTGGGGGTGCACACAGAAGCTGGAGCCCCCCCCACGACTCTGGACAACCCACCTGGGCAGCATCCAATGATCCGCCCTGGGGCCCCATTCACACCCTCCCCCCCACCTCTGTTCTCTCTACAAACCCTTCATTTACT